GGCGGGTATCCGCCAGCGGATAACGGGTATCCGCGACGTTATACCCTTCGACCATCTCTACCTTTCACTGTTGGAATTTCTCCCGCTTCTCACGCTCTATAGGCCGCTCTCTCCGCTCTCTTTTCTCTTTGCTCTCTTTTTTTCCTTTTTCCCCGCTCCGCTCACTTTCCCCCGCTCCGCTCACCTCTCCTCCGTTTCGTTCTTATCGCTCTCTCTCTTCATTTTCTGTATTTCTCCTTCTTCCTGTATGTCTCAGCCTCACGACTCCATCTCGACTCCGTCTCTCTTATCAGTCTCAGCCTCACAACGCTCTCAAACCACAAGTCAGCCTCAACCTCACACAACCACAAGTCGACCGTCTCGATAATCAGTCTAAATAAAGGGCTCAATGTCCCTTCTCCCAGTCCTTCTCCTAGCAGTCTCCGACATCTCGACCTCGACATCAACTACTACCAACCATCCTCATCGCCTATACTGCTCGGCTCCTCCTCAACTTTCAACTCCTAACTCCACCACCAATCCTACTCAAAAATTCCCCTCTTCATTTCTCTTCGTGTCCGTTTCTTCTCTTCTCTATTTCTCTATCTCCTTTCTCTCATATCCCTCCTCGCTCACTCTCACCGTCGCCGACTCCACTTCATCTCAAGCTCAATACAACCACCGCTCATACTCATTCCGCCAACTATCTCACTTGAAATACTCATTTGGCTTTTGCCGATTTGGTGAGAAAACATCATCATCTTTCTCTTGTCTTGTGTTATCAAATATTGACCTTTCTGTTTCCAAAAACCAATTGTTTTTTCTATTGATCTAAAAACAGTGTCTACTACCTGTCTCTGTTTGATCTAATTTATTTCAGTCTTTCTGCTTTGTCTAAGTCAAAAGACAACTCCACTCGTGGTAATTCTCTTTTCTTTATTTTTTCATATCATTGTCTATTCTTTTTCTTATCTTTTGAACTTTAACTCAAGTTTCTATTGTGTTTTAGTTCTGGTTCTATTTTCAGTAATTATTCCTGTTTTTCATCCCGATTAACAGTCGAAATGTGCTATGCGCATGCTATGCATTTACATGAGATTATGCAATATGCACTTATGCAATATGCAACTTTGGGAAATATAAAATCCTACTTCTTTGGAATATGCAAAATGTTATTATACAATATGCAAAATCCGCTTATGCAATATGCATTATCCATGTATAGACTAGCTTAGAAATGGTTGAAATTAGGGTCTCCTGTTCTCCCACTGTGGATTAAGGAGGTGTGTTGAAATTCTGTAATCCACAGTGTTCTAATATCAGCACATCAGGCATGGACTTGGTAGCCTAGTTGGTAAAGGCAGCACTTCTAGTATAGTGTCTTAGCTTTGAGCTAAGGTCGCTGGTTCAAATCCTGCCCAAGTCAATCATTTTATGCTAACTGTCTGCAAAATGCATTGTTAATTTTAACACGATTAACAGTCGAATACGAACGATCGAACCATCTCAACCTCCACCTCAAACCTCAAAAAACATGTCTACTTCGGAAACAACAAAAACCGACTCCTCAAACCAGAACACCTCTCATAAAGAAAGCACTACCATGGAGAAGATCAACTCCACCATCCTTAAGACAGCTCTCGAAGCTATCCCCAAACTTACGTCCGACAACTACACCCTATGGCGCAATCTTGTCGACAACATGTTGGACGTACAAGGACTCAGAGATCCACTCACTTCAGACACCGGCACCCTTACAGATAGTCAAGATGTCAATCTTTGAACAATCATCACGTCAAAGCTCGATTCATCGATTCATCCCAACGTCATCACCCATGAAAACGAGAAAAGCGCTTGCAAGATTTGGAAGTCCATCACCGAATATTTCGCCTCGACTCAACCAGCAAATCGCGCTCGAGTGTTTAATGAGCTCCTCGACCTCAGTTTCAACAGCTCTGATGTTCCATCGTTTATCACCTCAGTGAAAACCATCAAT